TCTCGTGGCCCGGTACCAAACGACTCGCAGACCGCTACCGGTCCATGGCCCGGGGGTTCGGGACCACTGATCTAGATGATGAGATATGCAAGGATTTCCCAATTTTACACTGAGGAACAATAATTCTGAAATTTCATTCTGTGCACATTCAGCTTTTTCCAGCTATTTCCAATTAGCTAGATTGTTATACCTGATTTTTAATACACGATTTTATACCCATTTTTCATGAAAGCGTAAACTGTCTTATAGTTTAAACATAATATGGTTTCTTTGTTCTATTGTGAGTAAAACATGGGCGTATAGTATTTGCAAATCGTTGCATTCTTGACATTTCATGTATAAAAAGACATTTAAAGATATAGTTTATTAACAAGTATAAATATAAAGTCCTCAGGTCTCAGTCTGAGCTTGGCAAAACCTTTTTGCGTGAGGTTTGCTTCATTGTCCTGAATCTGTCTTTGCCTTTTAAAACGCTTCAGTAAAGAAATAATTAAGTCTGTTTATATCGTGCTTGAGATGACACTAATGGTCCTGCGGATGGTGATGAGGCCCTCACACTGCATGGTGCGAAAACCAATAAGATCAGAAGGACACAGAGTGAAAAACTGTTATGGGTGCTTTAATTCTATGCATGGAGATGGATGGATACACAAAGGAGGAGTGGGAATAAACAGAGAGACACGGTGTGAGGAGTTACTTTAATTCTTTCATAAACTGTGAGTGTACAACACTGAAATGCCCCTACCCGCATTCATCAAGTCATTCAGTGACCCTGGGCTCTGCATCAAAAGCCTGTTTGTATTTCCATTTTTATACCATCTGAGAGAACACCACCTGTGAAAATGAGCTGACAGGTTCAGAGAGCAAGACTTTGATTGGATTGGAACAAAAACAATCAGTTGTTTCCGAATGCAATATTAAACCCTGGGGTGTTTGAAAATAATTATGTTTGGGAGGCTGACTCTTTATGAACTATTGAGCAAAATTGATTGAAAGCCCTTTGCATCAAGAGCAGGTGAACAGTATGCAAGGAGTCCAAAGGCCATGAAAACAAAGTTTTGGTAAAAGGGAATTTCAAACGTGACTCCATAACTTCCTCTGTGTGGTTATTAAAAAGCATTAGTAACTGATACAAAGTGGAAAAACTCAAAGGTTTTTATTGGAATACCAAAGATAGGCAGCCCGGAGGCGCAGTGGTTAGCATTGTTGCCACACTGGAAGAATGCTCAAGGTTTGAATCCAACATCTGGTCCAGGACTTTCTGTGTGCGTCTTCTTCCCATGGGAGCGTGGGTTCTCTGGCTTCCACCCAAAGGCATATAGTTAATAGGGTTAGATCAACTGACGACTCTAAATTGCCCACAAGAGTGAATCGTTGTCAGTGTTAGCCCTGTGACACCCTGCCTCTCACCCTATAGGAGCTGGGACAGGCTCCAGCCCCCCTGTGAATTGGATAAGTGGATGTAATCCCAAGTTTATTTAGCACTGGTGTGAATTGAAAATAAAAAGATAAATAATTAAAAACCTGGGAAATTGTCAAATTTCTCATCACATTGGAGAAATCAAACAGTTCATCTTTTTTAGATCAGAAAAAAGGACAGCTATGAAGAAAGTAAGCATGCACCTACACTTATCACATCTTCAAAAGCATCAGCTGCAGGGATGTTAGGTCCACATGATAAGACCGTGCTTAGGGAGTGACAGATGGTGCCTGTCTTATTTAGACCCCTGACATCTAAGTATGAGTATGGTACTCGTTCTGCCACTCAAGTTCATGGTGTCATCATACCAAGATCTAAAGAGTTCTTCAAGGCCTTCAGAAAAAAGAGGGGCTGTAGATGCCTATGAGCCTGACAAGGGATTTAAAAAGATCAAAAGAAGGAATGGAGGGTTATGAAATTGGCCAAGAAAGAGAGAGAGAAAAAAAACAGATCTGAATTCCTTTGAAATGTGGTCGGGGGATTTGAAATGGCCAGCATACGCATGAAAAGTGAAGAAAGGTCTGCATGGAGGACCACCTTTATCTGTAGGCACTGTTCAAAGGGGCGAACATCTTTGCACATCAAAATAATGTCAAAAAATACAAAAGCCAGTGTTTCTGTGACATGCTGTGACTTTCTCATGGCTTTCCTTTTTTCTTTTAGGAATTTGACTATATGAAGGGGGTTTGGAGTGGCCTATAACAAGTAAGACAAGGATGCTAAAGCAGTGCTGGAGATGATGCTATCAGAGTCTGTGTATAACAATACTTCAGAGAAAGTGTCAGCAGGGAAAAAGTGGAACCTGAGGGAGAGGGCTTTACAGGCTTAGACAGCACAGAGACAGATGGGTAATGTAAGCCAGCTTCTGAATGGGTGTGGGTGGTTTTTGGACTATGCTTAGTCCACATGAAGCAAAGCAAAACAGTAGAAGCTGGAAGGAGTAAACCGCTTGAAAGAGCGATTCAGAAGAGGCTCCTACATGTGCAAAATGAGTCTCTCGGGCACAGCAGGGAACGTGACTGAAACGGGAAAGTGTTGACAAGCAAAAAATTAAGCTCGAGGCAAGCGTGAAGGCACAGAAGAAGGCAGCATTATTTAATGATATGAGCAGTTTACTTTTTGTTTATCTGCCTGTTCAGTAAATGAACGGGAACGGGTTCACCGTCACATTCAGGTGTAAGGTTCACTTCAGCATGATGAGGAGATACAGTCTGTGTTTGCATTACTAGTTGCTGAAGCTTAACAGTAACCAGCACTAACACACATTTGCACCAAAACTGAAATATGTTCTAAAAAAACAACAACAAAAAAACAAAAACCAATTTAAAAAAGTTAGAGCTAAAGGCGTGGACTGAATGGCAAATTAGATTTAAGAAAACAGGTCATATCCCAACATGAGTTATCTGTCAGGAGCTTCGAGACCACATCTTGAGGTTAATTTGTGAAGCGGACAGCATCACGGGGGGTACACAGTAGGAATAGCCTACAGGGAAAAGGCTGACATGTGCAAAGCTAGTACACAAGGCAAAGGGGGATGTGGAGGCTGGCTTTAGTTGATAATTAACAAATCAGTTATGTCCCAGTAAAGCCAGCCTAAAGCAGACGGTGAAAGCATGACAGACAGTGTAAGGAGGCTGTCGGTGTATTACGGTATTACTTACCAAGTTCTAATTTCAATTCACATTTAAAAAATGCCCAAGTGCATATTCACTGGGTATTTGTATGGAAAGAGGAAGATAACAGGGCTTTACGGTGGGACAATGCTGGCTGCAGGTTCTACAGTATATGTTAAACAAGAAAAGGCCTTCATGAGAACCAGTGAGGCCACTCAAAAAAAGCACCCTAATGAGAAAAGTAAATTGATGGAGAATGTAAACGATTTTCTCTCTCAATACATGAATAGAGACCAGAATAATCTGTGCAGTGGATTTTCAAATTAGTGAATTTACACAATAGAATGTGAAATAATATCATGACTGCTGAATGATGAATGCATGTATGTAACTTGCAGTGTAAATTGCTATAAACAGTAGAATTGGGCCTACACCAACATAACCTGGACTTGAAGATGGAACGCTTCAGTTTTGGTTTATTTAAGGTGACAAACTGAAGGTGATCGAAACACCAACTTTTGTTTTTCTAAAATTCAGTTCAATTTTATTTATACAGCATCAAATCACAACAACAGTTCTCTCCAGGCACTTTACTGTAAGGTAAAGACAGTAATACAGACAAATCAGAGAAAAGCCCAACAACTGGCAACCATGGGAAGGAAAAACTCCCTTCTAACAGGAAGAAATTGCCAGCAGAACCAGACTTGGCTGAAAGAGCTGAAAAAGTATTAATCAATTTCCAAAGAAACTGATTCACTGTTCAGCCATTTTTCATGTTGTGTTTGGTGGCTCAGGTGCAGGGGAGGGGTGGAGCAGCAGGTTAAGGGTGTGGTTTCAGGGGAGGCTGAAAACACTAATCGTGCAGCCGCTGGGGCCAGAGAGGAGGAGAGACCATAGCAGGAGCAGTGAGAGGAAGGCGCTGCCACGCAATGAGGAGCCGAAAAGCTGCTGACGGTAACGCAACAGCACTGAAAGGCACACTGTAAATAAACCTTTGCAGTCACATTGCTGAGCGTGGGTCATTCCTGCTACAAATGTGTATAAGCATTAAGCGTAATCAACAAATGAAAATACAAATGTCCTAAATTCAGACTGCCGTAAAACACTAAAATATTCTAAAACTGCAAACAGAAGAACAGTAGAACCACCAGTGTCTGTTTCCTATTTCACAATGTTTATTTTATATTCTTCCACTGAATGTTTGACCCCAGCAGCAGGTATATTATCACTTGCATGCTGCATTTTTGAATTCTTTTCTTGCTGACATAAACACAAACATTGCTGAAAACAAACTTGAATGGATATCCAAATTCTTCTTCATGGCATTACAGTGATGTTGTCCGAAGGAGGCCACATCGACTGGCATGGCGAGATGTGCCAGGTTTTCAGCTAACGGCTGTTTGGGGATCACTTTGTTGATGTAAAACGTGCTGTATTTGGCAATTTCTGTCAATTCGACTAAAGAAATGAGATAAATTATGTTTTTGTGACAGGCTGCTGGTAAAAGTGTCCAAAAGATAAGACACAGTGTGTAGATACAGCACTGGTTCATCCCTTGAGATGGGAAAATGTTTTTTGATCCTTTTTTGTCAGCAGAGTAATATTTGTAACCAAATTCATCACAAAACTTTACGGTTGTGTAATAGAAGCCAAAAATCCATTATGCTGTGTAGACGCTGTCCAACCTTTCACCCTGAGGAATTTCTCCCATCCATCCATGGCCGCTTCTCCAGCTCAGGGTCACGGTGGGGCTGGAGCCTGTCAGGTAAAGGTAACAGGCAAGGTACATTCTGGACGGAGCACCTCTGAGCATACAAAGTATAAAATATAATTCTGAATTTCACCAAAGAGTCCTCCTAAACTTGTTCTTGAAGACATTATTTTAAATTATTTATTATCAAAACACGTTTTGTTAAATAACATCTTTATTTAAAAGGATTTAGAACACAAACTGGCACCACTTAATTTAAACGGCATGTACAACTTGCGTCTCACATACAGATTTTTGGACAGTGACACCTCTCCCACCGTTCGGCCTCCACGCGCCACCACAACAGTTAAGATGGAAACAACACGAAGGCTCTCACTTTAACTTCAAAGGTTGAAATGTGACTGAACAATTCACTCATGGGCTATTGTTTCCATAAATGAAGCCTGTCGAAGATCTGGAGATGATTTTAAGTATGGCGTTTAATGTAGATGGCACAACATGTGGTCGAAAAGAACAAAGTGAATCTATTGTAGGAACATCTGCCTGGATGATCGCAGACCTTTACAACCTTTTTTAGTTTGGTGGTCCAGTTTTAATTGTTACTAAGGTCATTCTCTTTTTTACAAAGATAACTTTGACTGAATGCATAACCTGTTTAAAGGTGAAAAGGTACAATATCATGGAGTGTCTAAGTCAATCACCTGAATCAGCTATGAAGGCAGAAAGACCTATGAAGACAGCTGCAGTCATGGTGTTGAAACAAAGCGTAACCACAACGGTTTGCTCTACTATTGCAGCTTGTTTTCAAAAGATGTAAAAGTGAGAAAAAAAATGTGTCACTGTCCAAAAATGTAACAAACTGTACACACAAACAGTCTCTTCAGATAAACATCCATGCACTGTTGGTAAGATCTAAAGGGGGAGAAAGGTAGTAATGCTCTTAGTTCATTGTGCTTATGAGACGTATAAAGCTGGTAGCTCAAGGACTGTCAGACCAGACTGATCAACATTAAGTTAATACTAATGTGAGGGGAGATCTATGCCCCCCAAAGAAGAAACAGAGGGCTGCAAAACTGTGACAACTGCCAACACGGTCACCTTCCCAATATAAAGACAACTCGAGAAACCACTTTAATAAAAACCAGTGGAAAACATCTGTGGCAAAAAGGGTGTAGTCTACTGTTGCTTACTTTAGCTTGATGTCATTAGGGGTATAGGTCAGGTTAAGGCAGGATGCAACGTGACTTGCACACGTGTACCATAATCTGGTGATTGTCCACGTTTTTTGTGAAGCTTTGCACCTGATTTGGACTTCACATGAAAATTCTCAATTATATGAAGAACAAACAAAATGTGCAGCAAAACCTCAGTTACTGAAACATGTTCTGTGTTGGCTTTGACATCATTAGAGTTTGTTTTTTTTTTAATTAAATTAGTAAAATACCTGATGGATGTTTTTGTGCACAAGACTTTATCAGCTTTTGGATTTTTCATTTAATATACTGGATCAAAGTGGAACTGTGCAAAGGTCCTCTGCCTGCTTTGCTTGTTCAAAAAGCACTTGTAGTCAACTCAACACTCCAACGTTAAAAAAGGATGATTCAGAAATTTTCTCTTTTGGCTTCATGAAAAACTAGAAAAACTGAAACACGGACTCTTAGAAAAAGTCGATGAAGATTTCCTTCTATAACATGTTTAAACATCGGCTACATGAGCACTTTGTGTACAAGCCGATGTTTCATTATAAGTGATGCATTCATAACTAGTCTGAGGGTAACACAACCACAGAGTTTACATCCATCAGTAGGTTTCCAGAGAACAGTTTGTAGCCAAACCCCAAAACCAGTGGTCAGCTTAAACTAACACAGCAGCAGCTTCAGCCGACCGCTTGCTATCAAATCCCTTTCAGCTCACTGGATCCCAAATACACATTTATACTGCTGGCTTCAGTAAGCAGGAGCTTAAAAACTATTTTCAACTACTGAACACAATCCTCCTTCACTGACCAATGTTAGCAGACTCCAAGTCTGGTGCCTTCAGAAAGTCCCATTAATGACAGAACACAAGGAAATGTAGAATAAGGAAAAAGCAGGCTGACCGAGGGGGGGAAACAAAAAACATAAGAGGCAGGAGAGAGCAGAGAGAGTGACTGATCCATCTGCTAGAAGCTGGGAAAAAACAAATGAGATAAAACACCTCCTGGAAAAACAAATTTAAAAAAAGAACTATCACCTTCATCAGCCAACAAGAAAAATATATATCATTTTTGATAAATATGTCACTCTCTTGATTCAGACTGTTCACTAATTATTTATTTGTTTTTATATGAAGAAACATGGCCAGTCTTTGCACACCTGCAAGAGGCCCACACAGTCACTCTCCCTCCTCTTTGTGAAGAGATGATGATGATGACGATGATGATGACGGGCTGTGAAGAAACCCATGTTTGTGCTTTTAGGCTGTGCCCGCTGCTCCTGTGGGCACTGCTGTATTCGTGGCATTCACACCTTTCCCTCGATGTCTCTGACCACCTCTCCTGCGTCCCCCGCCTCCTGACTTGAGCTGTGGATGGACAGACAGCACTGTGAGCCAGCTGTTAGGTGAAATCAGGTTTGAAATAAAGCACAGGCGGCAGGTAAAGCTTGTTGATCCAAAACCGTTAAGATGCACTTAAGAGCAACAGGAACTCCTTTAAAAAGGTTAAGAGGGTAAAAACGAGTTTAGAGGTTCTCTGAGGGGAACAAACAAAAAGGAAAGTGAACAGTTCAGACTTTAGCCCGGGATATTTTAGTGGATGGGGTAAACACCTTACAAACACAGGCCCTTTTCCCTTTTTTTGTTTAATTTAACACAAGTGTAATTACTTCGTTTTAAACGGGGTCACAGGAAATCCTGTAACTGCAAAAATGTTCTGTCTGACAAAATCAAATTTTACTAACATTTTAGTAACAAGTAACATTTAAAAAGCTAACAGAAACAAGTTGTGTTTTTCTAATTGGTACGTTCACCAGGGAGAATATAGAATGAGTGTAGTTTAAAATAGAAGAACAATTAGGGAAAAAGCTCATTTTTCTTCCTCTAGCACCTCCACAGCTTTTAATCTCACTTGGGTCCAGTTCAGTAAGCAAACACTTGTACTTGCAGTACAGCAGCTTCCTGGTGTGACTGAGAAAATTTTGTGAATATAAAGCAGAACTGCACTAAAGCAGAGTATGCATGCAAAAAAAAAAAACATCTGCTTAGAACCTGGGGAGGGTTAGGGAACAGAACAACTACACCTAAGGAGACACCATCATCACTCCCACAGTCTGCAGGAACTTTACCTTGTTTTCTTTGTTGCCATCATGACACAGAGCCTCCTCCTCTGCCACTGTCTGACGCAGCATGCCAAGACAGGGAGGGAGGAGAGAGAGATAACAGCGAGAGAGTAAAGTGTTAGAACTGAAGGATCGGGAATGCAGAGTGAAAACAGCAGTGAGGACGGGTGAGGATCAGAGGGCAGAGGAGGGGGTGAGTGGAGGTACATGTGGCTGATGATGAAGGCAGGATGATGGACAGGGTAGGAGAGCAAGTTGGCAATAAAATGATTGAAAGTCAAAGTACAATAATGGAACAATAATGTGAAAGTTGTAGACATTAAGTAGCAGATTTAAGCACTTTGAAGAGCAGAGAGAAGATGTCTTCCAACACACAGTTGACTGTAATAGAAAATCTAATGTCTGTGGTGACATTACCACACTAATGCACTAGTAGTGATAACTTTTGTGTCAACCAACAGTAAGTGGTTGGCAAGAACTGAAGGGTGAAATACTACAGCCACAGAGAGGGAGTCAGTGACAGTCACTGTGACCAACAGGAAGCCTGTGGCTAAATAATTCAAGAAAGCACCCAAAACAGAATTTCTGCAGCTCCAGATAAAACAAAACCTCAGTGTTCAGAGGGTGAATTACAGGATAGACCACAAGGACAAATGTCATAAGTGCATACAGACAGTGTTAGTGCCCGGAAGGGAAAACAAAAGTTCAGCACTGGAAAATTAACTGTTGGACACATAAAACAACCCGATGAAATTTGTCACTTCTTATGTTTTCTGTAAAACATGCACTCATAAGGATTCCCCGAGTACTGTTTCACTCACCGGTAGCTGCGCTGTGGTAGGACTGGGTGGCCGTGCTGCTGATCCACTGTCCTCATTAGCGGTTGTGCCCTCTTTAGAACTCTTTTTGCTGGCTTGAGATTTGGACTGCTGGGCCTTAGCTGCCTGGGTGTTCACTGAGTGGAGAAGCTGAAATTGCAAACACAACCTTGTGTTTGTTACACCAGTGTTCACATAACATTAATTATAGGATAATTAAAGAGTTTACACTGAACCAGAAAGGTAAGCACAAGCCCCAGTACCTTTGTAATGGTGCCTACAGCTTTGGTACGTCCTTCCCTGAACACCAGCTTCTGGTCACAGTGCAGGTATTCGGGGGTCTTGATGAAGCGAAAATGGACCGTGGCTTTGTCCCCAGTCCTCAGACAGTCTTTGTTCATTGACAGGATTGTGGCTGTCTGCCTAATGCTGCCACAGTGGACTAATGATACAGAGGGAGAGTGGCACAGTTACCGATTGGCCAGACAGTATTTTTCTCTTAGAAAAGGGATTCAAAGACACACAGATGCCCATCGGTGCTATTTAAACTTGTGAGTGTCTGTATTTACTAACCCATGGCCTGGTATCTCGGGGATATCGTGGTCGGATGGTGAAGCACCAAAATCTCTGCTTCAAATTCCCAGGTGGCCTGTGGCATCAGCTTGGGAGAAACCATCACCATTCCTTTCCTTATGGATGATCGTTTGATCTGAGAAGACAGGAGGGGAAAAAGCAGCAGGAACAAAGGAAAAAGAAATGAAGCTGGGGGATTGGTTAAGACAAAACTGAATTAGAGCCAGAACACTACCTGCTTTCACTCTTTGGGATTTGCATGTATTACAAAACTGATTCTAAAGTTAGGAAACTAATTCATATGCATATAACGTCTCAAAGTTTCTGAATAATTATCCTCTTCAGAAGTTTTCAAAACTTCTTGCCAAGTCATCTTTGAGCTATTTTTATGCTGTCTTTTGGACTGATATGTAAAAATAATTCAAATATGTCATGATGGCTGTGTTTCAACTAAATTATTTCCACACAGACCTTTTTGAGGGCGAAGGATGCGGTCTGTCCACCGCGAACCTCTCTGACAGGCATCCTCTTGCGGTGGATGGATTTAACTGCGATGGGGATGAAAGTGCCGAGGGGGTCTGGACCTAAGAGGAGCGTGTCGTTGAGTCGTATCAATCCACGTAACGTAGTGCCTGAAACTACTGTGCCCACACCCTGTGAAAGAGAAATGATACTTTTGGACTCTTCTGTTAGATAGGACTTTGTGAAGTATTGGAGGTTGGGGCAGCTAATGTGGAGTGCAGTATACTCAGAGACGTGCTGCTTTGTTACAAACATGTCTGTCATATGAATCTGAAATCTATGTATTGCAAATGTTCTCTAGAAAGCACAGAAGAACAGAGAACATTATTTACTATCAAACCTTCACCTTTCTGTGTATTTATCAAATTGACTGTTACTGTGCTGTTACTGAAAACTGAAATAGGAGATGACCACAAGTAATTAACAACATTCACCGCAGAAGTCTAAATTATGCATTAAAAGAAAAAGAAAAAAAAACTCAATCTAATTACTTCCTATGAGCAAACGCTTGGCAACAGTGGGAAGGAAGAACTCCATTTTAACAGAAGTGACCTTTGGCAGAACTAGGCTCAGGGAGGAGCAGCCTTCTGACTGGGGAGTTGATGGGAAAGAGAAGAAAGTTTAAAAAAAAAAAAAAAAAAAAAAGAGTGTACAGACAAGAAACACATCAGGGCTGAAAAGGTGGGACTGAGGAATAAAATGCAAATAAAAACTTGATCAGAAAGAAACTAAACAGGGCGATGCAGGGCGTGGTTCTTAACACTGGGGCTGAGGACTCATACAAACATGCAGGAACTACAGGAAGAAACCCAACTCCTTTTGCTCCCAGCTTTGGCCCTTCTACACGCCTCAACGATACACTCATTCTGATAAGATCTCCCACTGGCACTCAGAAAATATAAGACTCCTAGAAGCAACTCTCACAGCCACATCATGCTCAAAATAAGACCACCATTAAATCACCATTAACAACAACTTTGTCCACACCTTTCAGTTTCAAATTTGTTGTTGCATATTTGAGTTTTTAACCCTAAAAAAAGGCACTATACTGACACAGATTATTAATAAATCTACCTCTATCTACAATGTCTTTGATCTAGTTGCCCTTGCTAGCATACTTCTTCATGCACTGAAACACTAATTGTAAAGAAATGAACATCCATGGCTGTATAACTGAGTGTGTGCTCTATTTCTTACAGGTACGGAGTATGTGTCGTCTATTTGGAACTCTGCAGGCTCATCATTGCTAAAGGTGGTCCGAGAGGAAAGGAGGTTCAAGAACATCTTCAGCAAGTCCATGTTCTCCCCCGTCACATTTGAGATCTGGAATATTGGACACATCCTGGAGAGAAGGAGAGACAAAAAAGAGAGATGATGAAGAAAAAAAAAAATCTATTCTGTTTAACAGACTGGGCTGGATGGCAGATTCCTTAAAGGGACTGATAAACCAGCACATGAATATTTACACATTAAATCTTAGGAAAAAATTAAAGAGGCAAGGGAAAGCTGTTTAACAGCATACCCACTTGACTTATAAACCTAAAATAAAAATGCACCACCCAGGCGTGGCTACACACAAACACCAGAGGCCGATCAAAAAACAGAAACCAGTGTGCTGATTGGTTCGATTTGAAAACAGAATCAAGATGACCCATGTGAAAAAAGCTATGTGTTAAAGCACTGAGATCATATGAGCATTACATGCTGAAGAGGACTCCTCCAGCAATTTCCCCACAGACAAAATGTATACGCTTTTATTTTTGGCAGGAAACCGTATGATTAAGTAAAATTAAGGGTCAAGCTGATATAGTCGGTTTTATTTGGCATACTGGAGAGTGCGCATATGATATCCTGTTCTCCGTAAGTGTTTTTATGACTTACTTTCACTAAACGTCTTTGGCATTTTATTCAAAAATCTTAATTCTGCAGGAACATTTTAAAGATCAAACATTATTTCTAACTGTGTGAGTATGCTGTCAATCAACTGTCATCCATTCTGTTATTATTTCTCAGCAGAGTCACGCCCATCGTCCCACCTGTTCTCTGGTCTTACCTCTCAGAGCTGAAGTTAGAGGCTGTGACAATGACATCATCCTTGTTCTGCACCAACACTGGGATTTTCCTGCAGCCTGGTGACTTTAATAACCTCTGTAATAATTTTAGTGTCTCTGCAGACAAACACAAGCAAACCTGAGTTTCTTAAACCCAAAAAACAACACTCATGACAAAATCTGAACAAAACAACCTGAGAGTGAAAATAAATGACATATTTAAAGAGATGGAAACTGAAAGTAGTAAGCTTTAAGTGGAAAAAAAGACTGCTTTTAATTTACTTTTGCTTTAAAAGCATATTTATTCATGTTTTGTTATTTCTTAATTACTATCACTTCCTTTATGTGCTCTTCCAGTAGTTTATTGTTTTTGTAAACTTCTCTCTCAGTTTGCTTCACTTTAAAAGCGTTCTAGCGATTTACTTTATATTATTCATTTTCTTCCCAAAGAGGCTTTTTTTGAGTTAGAGCCCAGTTTCCTACCTTAACATAATTAAAGCAGAGCCATGAAGCGTGAAAGTATTTACTGCCTTTAACAACACAATGGTGGTCTTTGGTGTTGCTGTAAACATTGCTGTGGGAATGGAGATTATGCTGAATTTGCAAAACCTCTCACACTGAGCATGAAGTTACAAAACTGTGACCTAAAGTTGTAGAACAGAGCAGTTATACAGCTGTGCTGGAGATAGTGGATTTACCTTGCAGGATGTTAGCTGGGCACATGTCTATCTTGGTAACCACAACAAACACAGGTACGTTTAGGGCCAGCGCTAGACCCAGGTGCTCTTTGGTCATACCAACAATGCCAGCATTGCTGCCAACCTACATGGAGAGACAAGAAACACAGAGATGAGTGGTTAAATATGTGAGGGCAGAAACAGGAACAAAAAAGTAACAAAGGATTTGCCAGGTAATAGTTAAATATAAACTTTCAATCTCTCTCACCATGAGCATGCAGAAATCAGGCAGGTGTCCCGTCATGCCAAAGACTGTGGTCTTCAGGTACTTCTCGTGCCCAGCTAAGTCAATAAAGGTGATGACTTTGGAGGATTTCTCACAGATCTTGGTCCAGTCTAAACCCCCGCCATGGCTGTCTGGCTTGTTTACCACCTAAAGAAGCGAGCAGACAGAAAAGAAAACCTACTTATAATGGACGTGAGAAAAAAACAGTAGGATGAAACTTTGAAAGAAAGCTTAAAAATGTTCCTGCAGGAAAAATACATGCTGTTAATTAAATGTGATCAAACCTTTCACAATTATAATTTCACATAAATCCATAAAGCTAACAAGAAAAATTACCATCTGAATAGTCTTTCACTGAGCAGTGTTTTTTTTGATATTTGGTACTCAAAAACTTTTAAATAAATGCAAAAAATAAGGAAAGATCACTACAGAAATGCATTTCTCCAGTGATTTTGCCCATTCACAACTGACAGCAGCTCACCTGTCCTTCCTGATCAAAGCCCAGGATATCGTTGCCCACACTGCTGGTCCTCCCACTCTCCATCTCATGTTTGTGCCGGAAGAGCTTCTGGCGAGCGAAACCTCTGCCATTATCCAGCTCACCATGGGTTAACACTCCCAGCAGGGTGCTCTTTCCAGCGTCTACATTTCCAACAACAGCCACTCTAGAGAAAAGATAACAGAAAAGAAAAAAAAAAAGAGTGAATAACACAAGTTTCAGTACAGGGGAGTGTACAGGGAGTGCAGAATTATTAGGCAAGTTGTATTTTTGAGGAATAATTTTATTATTGAACAACAACCATGTTCTCAATGAACCCAAAAA